AATTGTAGGATTTGGGAGAGATCACGTACCTCTGAAATTATAGGTGATTATCTCATGTCTTTGTGTTGACTGTTTTAGACAATTGAAGAAAAAATTAGCATTCCCCTAACTTGTGGAAAAAATCATGTCGATTTCTGCGTCGAATAATAACACAATTCTCTTCATTCACGCTCCAAGTTTTGCACTGAGTTCATTACTAAATGGTGAACTCAACTAGGCGAGTTCCTTCAGCATTAGAGTAATCTAAATCCCTGTGTAAACATCGACAAATTTCTTTGGAGAGTGTTCTTGTGCTAAATAAGGTCGTAAATGAGCCGAGCTTGAGCGAGCTCAGGCTTGGCTCGTGTTCGGCTCGTTCGAAATAGCTCGTGTTCGAAATCGGCTTGTGAACAGTGTGTTCGTGTTCGGCTCGATTTAAATATTCTTGTTCGTGTTCGGCTCGAAATTGGCTCGTTAAACTAAAATTGAGAAAAATAGATATAAAGTGTGGGATTCGAACCTAGATCAAATCCATACAAAAGAAGACACTAACCACATTTCCACATGAGACGTTATGATTTAAACTTAGACATAAATATATATAATATATTATTATATAAATAAAATATATAATATATTGTTATATAAAAAGTTATATAATTTTTTTTCGAGTCATTTCGAGCCGAACAAGAGCGAACAAACTGTTTTTTCGTGTTCAGCACGTTTACATTTCGAGCTTAAAAATTTGTTTGTGTTTGGCTCATTAGGTTTAACGAATGAGCTGAACACAAGCTGTTCACGAACAACGAGCCAAATTGACAACCCTAGTGCTAAACAAATCATCATCTTCCGTGAACCATGTGTCAAATTAAATTGGACAATGATAAGTCACAAATGGTAGACTCACGAGTAAGCCATCATAAATACTAAATTTATTTCTTGTTAATGATCCATGCCCTCTATTCCCATCTATAAATACTAGCGCTCCACTCCACTTTTGGAAAGCAAATAATGGTGTCAAAAGGGAGCGGATAATGAAGGAGAAGATGAGGAGAGGTACAAGTCAAGTTCTCCATTCTTGCCTTCCTTCCCATGAGTCTCCGTTAGTTATGGTCCAAATTGAAGGACTCTTCATTTGTTGGTGTCCAAACATCAGTCCTGCAACGTCAAGTTCCTCACAGCTTTGATTTTTGCATGCTAAAGGAAGTTGATGATTTTGTCTTAAGTATCTAGCCACTGGCATTATTAATCCTAGCTTGTTTTCAGCCTATTTTTTCAAATGGCAATCCAAAAAGATTGGTTGAGGCCTGATTTTTTGTTTTCTTTTTCATTGTTGTACGAGTGTGTCAAGGCTCTTCCACTTGAGGTGACTCAAATGGAAGTGAACTAGCTAGTTTTATGTTGGTAAGAGATTCTACCCTCAACCCATTTCCATACTTATTATCGGTGTAGTGTACCTTAAACTAATGCATGTTTTCAGAGCTTTGTGCTATGTTTAAGGTTTCTAACTTACAACATCTCTTTGAAAGCAACTAACAAAATTTTGCAAAGTTTCTTCTGTGACCAATTTGCAATAAATCTTGCTAGCACTTCTGCTGCACTAGCAAACTACAGCACAAATATACACTCGAAATATGTTTGAAAAGAGAACACTCATAGTGGCAAGCTATTAAACAATTTGAGCGTTAACTCCTTCAAAATCATAAAAAATAAATGACAATTTAAAATTATCATTGAATGATCCGAAATGATCAAAAGAGTCAGCTATACCTCTATAAGATTCTAAAGATGAAATCATAAATCGTTCGAGTGCCTTTGCTTCGGCGATCTCTCTAGAGAAAGAATTTTCTAATTGGTATAATAGAGGAGTTTTGGTTCTCCTTCTCACCCACTCAAATGCAGAGATGATCAAACCACCACTATTAGAGTGATAAGTTTCATTCTCATTTGCTTGAGCAGGTGATGAGGCTTCTTTACATCTTGCAGAGAATGCTCTTCTATGTTGTGCTACTGCTTCTAGAAGAGAAGGGGGTGCATGCTCCCCCGATGCAAGCGTCTCTAATATTACTACCATCATCTACTCTTCCAACTCATTGATTTATTGTGTCACAAGCTCTCTGGTACACTACATTTTACTAGTGATATCTCTGTTGCTTGGCTCTGCTCTTTGTGTAACTTTTCTTTTTGTTTCTAGCATGATTCATGTTCACCACACCTATTAGAATATTTGAATTTGAAGTCCCTAAACTCACGTCTCAAGAAGAATGAGCCAAATAAGAGAAAAACCTCTTTCCTTTGGGAGAAAATGGAGAAAAAAGTTTTGTATAATGTTTAGGGATCAGCTACTTTTTCTTCGGTCATATTCGTCTATTTACAAAGGAAAATTTTATATATTAAAAAATAGCAACTCATTGTACAAATATCTCAAAAAATCTTTTATTTATCATTTCTTCTCTTCTTATGACTTTGACATTATAATTAATATTATGTATGACAGCATCGTATTTTGATATCTATTGCCCATAACAATCGTTGGGGTCACATTCTTGTAGATTCAATCAATCTTTGAGGTAATTCATCACTAGTCAAATCAGCTTCAAAGTAAGTTCCCTCTCGAATGAGTCTTATCTCTTGGAAAATGAGGCGAACTTGGTACCCTTGTAGAGTGGGTGAGCATTCTCAAACAAGTTTTATAATTGCGGGGGAGCTATCGAACATAACTCATTGATTGAGCTAGCGGAAGAGATCCCGCAAGAAAATCAACCTTGTGAGTTGTTTGGTCTTTCATCTTGAAATCTTACTGGACAGCTAGTGTTTGATTGTTAGCGCTCATCAATTCATCATAGTTTGGTCGTTTGCCTTGAAAGTCTATTTGGTTCTAAACTTAGACTCGGTCAAACAAAATTTGGATATAAAATTGTATATAAAATTGTAATATGAGTCATATTGTCAATCTAACAAAACCAAAGTGTGGATTGACTCATAATTTTATATAGAAAGCATTGTTCTTGGTAACTTCCAACCAAGGCACATTGTCCTGGATTGAAATGGGAGGTTCACCTCACACTTATCAAAGAAAAAACGAGTGTCCCACTTGAGTTCATCTCAGTGATGCACCAACAAATGGACGGACACTCTGACTAAATACTATGAATCCTACAGAACTTAGTTAGAACGTGCATTCAACTTTGTCATTAGGCGGGAACAAAACATAACATTGATCAAGTTCTTATAATAGTCATCAAGTCAACATCAATGAGCCATACAAAGCTTTTAATGGAAGGAAGTGATGATTGCTGATATGTTGAACCAACTGAAGGGAATGAGCCATCTTTACCTTACTGCTGGTATACAAGACTACCAAGATGATCACGGTAATTTGATAATGACTTTAGAGAGCACAATAACAAATGAAATACCAAGATTTAAGGGATTAATAGCTAATGTTGAAGAGTACGTGTTTTTTTAAGTCAGCTACGTGAAGATGCGAAACGACTTGGATATGTAGAGAACTCGGCATTTTTTACTTGGAACCAGTCCAGATTATGGTCCATGTAGGATCAGTTGCATATGGGGTGGATTTACATCCTCAGTAGGTTGGAGTTCACAAAGTCTTACATGTTTCAATGTGTACTCTACAATGTCAACACATCAAACATTATTTGATTCAACCATGATGAGATGTAAATTCAACTCAACACGATATTGGCCTACCAAGAAAAAAAGCTCCAAAGAAATATCATCTCAATGGTCGAAGTATCATGGTAAAAGTAAACAAAGAAAGAAGCTACATCAAAGATTGGGCAAACATGAGAAACTGATAACCCAGATAATCAAGGCCACAGGAACAAACTTTTAGGATGAAATTTTCTGATAATGAATGATAGGATGACTGAATATATGGAAAAGAATTTGCTCGACTCCTTGTGTCCAAGTGGATGGCTGACCTCCTTGGGTCTGCCAGGATGTTTAACAACCACCATCCTTCATATGTTCAAGTTTGTTGTTCATTACTTGCATAAAATCCTTCCATTGTCTGTCTTTTAGCTTTTGTTCTACTAATTGTAAGTTAGAATGTTTTCCTCTGAATTTATCCTAATACTTTTAGCCTCTAGATGATTAGTGGAATCTGGTGGGGCAGTGGAGATGAATGCGATGTTCATCAGATCTAGCCACTTGAACGCCAGTGTTTAGTTGTTTATCTTTCAAAACAAAGGAATATAACTTTAAATTCTTTAATGATTTGCCAATGTAGAATTCCTTCTCGTATTTAGGTCTTCCATTTTCCTTCCTTTAATTGAATTGAGTAGATTTTTTTTTCTTCGAGTTTTCATATATCTCTCGATGTTTTGATGGCCAACCTGCTACCACATGACTGCATATTTCTATCCCAGTAGAGCTAAAGATGACTCAGCTCAACAGTTGATCAACTTTGTATTGCAAACGGCAAGGTCTGGACCACAACAGAGCAAAGGCAGTAGCACTGAGTGGAATTTTGTTCCTCAAGTTTGCCCCACTCATGATGAACCAGCCAAATTGAATTAGTTGGATTCAGGTCATGACAGTACAATCATCAACCAGTATTACATATATAGAAAACTAGGACAATTACTAAGCATAGCAGTGAAAGGCATAACCCATTTCCACTAGCATGTATAATGAACTTTGTCAATTTTTAAATAATAGCATAGAATTTTGAAAAAGTTGTAATAACGGAAAGTGGCATCACATAAAACAATTTGTACTCCATCTCAAGTTTACAATCAAATCCATAATAAAATGACAAACCCAAAGAAGCAATCTATTATGATAGCTAAAAAAAAGTACCTAGATGATTGGAGAAATCATCTCAGACAGGGTTTAAGACCATCCAAAATTCTATATCATGTAAGCCACACACAACAGTGTAGCCTAATGTAAACCAAAAATTGAAAACCAAATTGGAATGTAACTAATATTGGATTAAGGGAATGTACATTTAATCAAGTACTAACTAATAAAATGGTTATAACCCTCCATACCTAGTCCAACAGCTTGGAATTTATGAGTTTGAGAGATGTTCCTATGAGTCAATTGAGTCAATGCAAAATAAATCCCAGCAACGTCTATGAAGCCAATAAGTGTCCTCATCAGTTCCTGTTAAAAAGAAAAAAAAAAAAATTTTCTAACTCAACCGAAAATAAACCGAAAATAAATTTGAAGCCAGATCAAAGATCACAGTAGTGAAAAATAAAAAAGCAACACAAAAGATCTCAATAATGCCAATGACGATTGATAAGGAGTATTAGCATTTAATCAATTAAAAACAGAAAGACAGTTGTGATAAATAAAATGTTTCATCGAAGATTTCAAAAGCCAATGAAGCTCGATAAATAGGATTAACATTTTAGTCAATTAAATAGCCCCGACTGAGCTTAATGAATCTATCAACATTTAAATAGCATACAAATAGGATAAACCACCCAGTTAGGTGCTTGACTAAAAGGTTTAAGAAAACCCTCTAAGTAAATGCCCTGTAAAAATATTCATTATTTGCATCAATAGTTTATTGCTTAAATAATGCAATGCCACCTAAAAGACATAGTGATTCTAGCTTTTCCTTCTATTTCCCGTATCTTACATTTTTAAGATTAAGAGAATCCCGATACCCTTCAATCTGGGCGCTGTCAAGATTATCCTATTCATGACATATTCAATTTACCTCAATCCAAAAGATAATAACAAGCCAAGCATCCTCTAATGCTATCAAGCTACACATCTTCATAACAGTGAACCAAGCAAACCACTAACCAGCATTCAAGTTTTGGGTCTTGTATCGTAATGCTTATTGGACATCTATAGGAACAAGCGGTTATTTTTTCAACTTCCTGTTTTAATCTTATCATAGCTAAAACTTTTGTGTTCTCTCAATGCAACATGAAAAGCTTCTGAAAGAACAATTAAAATCAATAAATTCAACCTGAAGATTAAATTGAATGCAAAACAAAATCCATCGCTGAGTATGCCTTTATTAACAACTTGCCATGAAAACCAATTAGCAGATTTGAAACAAATATTTCAAGAGCTAAGCATACATCACAGATTAATTTCAAATCAATCATAAATTCAAAATTCGTATACAACATCTCATAAAGAGATTTTCTACGTAAGGGATTAAATGGAACATAACAAACCATAAACTATTTGGGTGACACAGCTTAGATTCATTAGTAACAACAGCCTGATCTCTAAATGTAACAGGAAAATTGAAAGCACATGTTACATATTTATATACACTCTTATCTCTATAGATTAGAAATATCTCTAATAATAGAAAAGATTATGTATTCAGATCTCGTAAAGTAAAGCCAAATAATACAAGAAAAATCATCCATAAAAGTGAAAAAATCAATTAAGAACACATGTAATTTTGCTAATTGAGACAAGATTAAAAGAGAATTGAGGTAAGCTGAGGAAAAAAATTAAAGGCAATGTATATGTAACATTGATCGTGTCGGAACCAAGAATATTAGAGGTAGATCCATATGGTAAGGTGATGGAAGAAAGATGTTTATGAAAGGTGTAAAAAAGTTTTGGATAACTTGTTATGTGATCTGTGTAGCATCAAAATCAATGACCCACTATATAAAAGACAAGTATCATTGTTATGTAACTTAACAAGGGCAGTGATAGATGGAGATTTCTTTGGTGCTTCCCAAAATTGGAAGAACTTAGCATATTAATCTGCAGAAACCGATAGAGTCTGACTCTGATAGGCCTGATTAGTAATGACCGTATGAGTTGACTGTGATCTAAAACAATTATAATTCTTTTTGAGGAACTTCTGAACGTTTTGTTCATATGACTCAGTTCATGGCAGTAGTAGCAAACTACTATCGAGCCTTGATCTCTAGAATTTAGAGCTTCACTTTCATAATTGACATGAGATTAAGATTTTTTGATGTTTGCATCTTCCTGAAAAGGTAGAGCTCAATGGTGATGTACAAATAAAGTTAGAGAGCTCGAACTAATACGTAATACTCTATTATATACTTCGAGTAATAGCTCCTGAGTCAAATATGATCGGTAATTTGACGCCTTCATACTGTGGTATGAGGCTAACTGGAAAACTCATAATAATTATTTATTCTCTTTGAGCCTGCTAAGTCTGGACATCAGTACTAAAGGACAATAGTGCATTCAATTCTTCATAAACATGTATAAAATGCATGTGATACATGTTAAGTGATTGATCCTATTGTTCAGCTTCATAGAATTCCTTACATACATCAAGATTCGAGAAATATTTTCTCCCAGAAAATACAAAAGTCAGAGTAATATGACTGACCAGATTAATCAAGTTCGATAAAGTTCCGCATTTGTATCAAACATTGGCATAACTCTCATCTTTAAAAAAATTCAAATCAGTCTCAACTGAGGAATTATCAAAGATGTGACTTTCTTTAGAAAAAAATTTTGAAAGTAGAGTCACATATTTATTCCAATAAAAATAATTTATGTCATTTAACTTTTCATCCATAATTTTAGCCACCAATATAACCAAAGTTGTTACAACATGTTTTTGTTCCATAACAATGATTATCACTAAATATTCAAGAAAATTGAGTACAAATGAGCAGAAGGGAGATGAACTCCAAAGAAAAACAACACTAAGTCGTAGGAGTTGAATAAAACAACTAATGAATCCGATGAAACTAACAAAGGCTCGTTAAGCCGATGAGGCTGAGCGATATAGATGATACCAATTAGGATGAAGATGAAGGCATCGAACGAAGTCGAACCTAGTAGACAAAGTCGAAAATGTTGTTGAAGCCTCACGATGTAGACAAAGTCGATTATTTGCCGAAGAAGTGGACGAAGACGAGCGACACAGTGAAACCAAACGAAGCAAATGTTGAACAGTACGAAGGTAAAGAAGTCATACGAAACAACCGATTAAATCAATCTAAGAAGACAAAGCTGACAAATGCATACACCAAAATAGTTGAATTACATGGTATGGTGCAGTTAATATCACAAATAGTTGATAAAATGACTGTTATTGAAAAATCTTCCATCAGTGCAGAACCTAAAACTGAAACTAGGGTATAAGTTGATCGACACTTAAAGATATTTCAATCTTTCAAGCCATCTGCATTCAAGGGTACCAGTGACCCTACAATTGATGAAGATTGGCTCCTAAATATTAGAAAAATTCTAGATAGTATGATTTGTTCGAAAAACAAAAAAAGTGGCCCTAGCTATATTTATGATAGAAGAAGCAGAAAGGTGATGGCATGCACAGTATAGAGAAAAATTTCAGCTGACACCTCTATCACAAATTCAACAGGAAGAATTTGTTAAAGTCTTCAAAGGTTGATTCATTCCGCCTTCAGTCTGATTTGAAATTAGAAGATAAGTTCTTCAATCTAACTCAAAAGTCCAAAATAGTTAAGGGACCAAGAATGTTATGCAATATAAGATAATTCATTTTTCTTTTCAGATATGCACCCCACTATGTCAGTATCAATAAGAAAAAGTTTGCAGATTTCAGCAGGGTCTCAGAGATCTGTTGAGGTTGGCATAAGCTCCATTTGAAATAAGTGATTTATCTGTGCTTGTAGAAAGGGCAAGAAGAAATGAAAATGAGCTGAACTTTTTCAATTAACGGTGGCAACCTCAGGCAAGAAAGTGCAAGTATTTTGATAAAAGAGAATACTTCCAAAGCAAGAAAATTAAATCAGAATGTAAGCAAAAGCAACCACAATCAAAAAAGCCTATTTGTGAAAAATGTGGGAAGAAACATTTTTGGACAGTTCTCAAGCGGTTCCGGAAAATGTTACAAAAGTGGACAGTCATGACACATTCAAATGAATTGTCCACAAAAAGAGAAAAAAGACAACACACCAAAGACAATTAAAGGACAAGGACAACCTAGAAAATTTTTGGAAGGCAGTTAGCTCAACAAAACTCAATTTTTCGAAAAGCTTTCAGTGCAAACAAAGGGTGAAACTTTGGAACGCAGAATTGAGCAACCAGTGGAAGCCTGAGTTTTTGCAATTTAATCACCGCCTCAAGAAGCCAAAAAATCTAAAGTTGTGATTACATGTACGCTCCGAATTCAAAATCAGCCTGACACTGTTCCATTCAATTCAAGTGCATCACATTCCTTTATTTCTAATGAATTTGCTGCCCGTTTACTTGTTGATAGTATACATTTTTCTCTTGCTCTGTGTGTTGTTATGCCTTCAGGAATTGGGCTTTATGCTAGTAGAAAATGTGTAGTTCATGTTCATATTGATGATAAGAAGTTACTAATGAAGTTGATCATCATATCAATTCAAAACTTTGATGTTATTTTGTGATGAATTGGTTGGTAAATCATTTTGCTAAAATAGAATGATGGAAAAGCTGAGTGAAACTGAAATGCCTAGTGAAAAATCATTTTATATCTTATGAGATTGAAATGCGCAATCTTCTTTTATTAGTACAGTGAAAGTTTGGAAGCATTTGAGTAGTGGTGAACTAATGTTTTTGACAAAATAAGAAGTGCTAAATAACCGTATACATGAAGTGAAAAACATCCAAGTGATTTCAGAATTTTCTGGTTTATTTCCTGAAGAACTGTCAGGACTATCGTCAGAACGACAAGTTGAATTTGGTATTGATGTGCAACCAGGAACTTTTGCAATGTTAAAATCTTTGTATATGATGGCTCTGAAGGAATTGCAGAAATTGAAATGTCAGTTGCATAAATTTAAATATCAGTTGTAGGAACTGATAGATAAGGGTTTTATCTGACCAAGTAATTCACCGTGGAGTGCTCCAGTATTGTTCGTTAAGAAGAAAGATGGATCCATATGGTTATGTATTAATTACAAAGGTCACAATCAAGAACAAATATCTTTTGCCTAGGATTGAAGATTTATTTGATCAATTAGAGGGTGTAAATCTATTTTCCCAAATTGATCTGATATTGGGAAATCATCAGGTCAGAGTCAATGAGACAGATATAACTAATACAGTTTTTGGGACCATATATGGTCATTATGAATTCTTAATTATGCATTTTGGTTTAACTAATGCTCCTGCAATCTTCATAGATCTGTTAAATCGACTTTTCAAGCCATATGTGGGTCAGTTTGTCATTATATTTA